TTTTTCTATTATTTAATTAAAAAATATGTTATTTAAAAAAAAAAATGATAGGAATGGTTGGTTTGTCTAAATAATAATAATAATAATGATAAAAGGCAAAAATATTATTTATATTTAATAAAAAATAACACCCACACATTTATAACAAAATAATAATTAACATTGAACCAGCAATACATTCATTTATTTATTTTTGAGCTTAGTTTTTTTTTTTTTTTTAAATATTTATTTGCAGTGTGTAAATTATTTAAAATCGTACATAATAATAAAGCGAAAAAAAAAAAAAATTTTAGAATTTAAATTTAATTAAATTTTGAATAATGAAAAAATTTCAATATGTCTGTCAACAACAACAATTTTCAAATGGCGGGTTCATATTTATTTTTGAGCAATCAATGTAATAAAAATAATTTTTTATAAAATAATAATTAATAATGAAGTTAAAAAAAAGTAAATCATAATCTTTTTTTCTCTCTTTTAAAAAAACAATTAACAAGTTTTTATTATTTTTAACGGTTACAAAAATTTTCCAATAATTTTCATTTTTTTCTTATTATTGTAATAGAAATACAAAAAAAAATTTTTTTAAACCCATTTGATTTGAATCGGTTTCCATTTTTCTTTTTTCTCCCATAAAAAAAAAAAAAAAAAAAAAAAATTATAAATAACAAAATATTTTTTAACCTTTATTATTTATAAATTCAACATTAAAAACAACCAATAAAACAAATTTAAATAATAATAATAATAATAATAAATTCTAAAATAATAAATAACATATTAAATATACTTTGTATTCAAATTTAAATTTTTACAAGTAAAAAAAAAAAAAAAAAAAAAAAAAAAAAAAATATTTTATTAATTTAAATTTAAATTATTTTTCTTTTTTTTTTTTTTGTTATTTTAATAACTTCTCGACTAGAATAGCAAAAAAAATTTTAGATTTTTGCATCTTTTAAAAAAAAATAAAAAATATTTTAAGCCCCCTCCCCCCCCGTATAAAAATATTTAAACAAAATAATATTTACTAACATTATTATGAATTTCTTTTACTTTTTAATTTTTTTAGAATTTTTTTTATAAACATTTTTTTTTTTTAATACAAAATATTTAATTTTAGTATAAAAATACAAGTATTTATATAATTTTTTTTTTTATATTTGGTAACTTATTTAGGGATGTTGGCAAGATATGGACCACTTATTTAAACAGTCACATTAATAAATAATAATAATAATAATTGTGAAAATCAAAAAAAAAAATAATTAAATAATATTTTTTTAAATAGATTAAAAATTATTTTTTGTAGTTTATTATTGTGCCATTGTTTTAATTAATTTTAGTTTTTAGTTTTTTTTTAGTAATAAATATCACAAAAGCGTTAAAAAAGTACAAACAAAACACTTTTTTTTATCTAAATAAGTAAGTAAAAAAATTAAACTGTTTTTAATTATTATTATCTACAATTTGCATTAGTGAATCAGAATTAATAATAATAATAACCTTGTTAATTAAAATAAATAATGTAACAAGGTTTTTTTTAAAAAAAAAGTACAATCGAATTCAATAATAATAATAATAATAATTTCACAATCACATTACATAACACAGCAACGAAGTTTTCATTTTGTCGTTTTCAGGTTCTTCATTCGATAAACACATTATTCGAATTGTATTGAGGATTTTCTGCTAGAAATTTTTTTAATTTACTTGGAAAATCAGTCATTACTCCATCGACTCCTAAATCGAATGCTCTTTTAAATTCTTCTTCATAATTTAGAACCCAAACATAAGTCTAAAAATTAATTTTTATATAATTTCGAATGTAAGATTTTCAGGTATTACATATATTGTATTAATTATACGAAAGTTATAAAATTTCATTACCTGAATTCCTCTCTTTTTCAGGTGCCTGAAAAGAGCAGGTCTAAGGAGCAAAGCATCCATTACTTTAATCATAAAATTTTTTAAGAGCACATTATCTGAATTTCCCATTTTCGATCTGAAAATTGTAAAATGAGTTAATACAATTACACCGAAAGTCTTTTTAAAATTGCACTTATCCAATATATTTTTGCTGTACCTAAAATATACAGAAGGCAAAAAAATTTCAAGATGAGTTTCTTTTATAGGATAAAATGGTAAGAGACCAGAATAGAATAGTAAAACAAGATGAATAACTCTGGTCATAGAAAAGAGTAAATGAACATTAGGATTCTACAACAAAAAATTATATATCAAAATAAATAATTTATAATTAGCGGCAGTGACTTATTTTTTTTTTTTTTTTCTAATAATTTGTTAATTTTTTACCTCTCTAAAACATTTTAATGTGATTTGATTATCAAAATTACCCCAAACTGTATAATTTTCACGATTATAATGTTTGATTAAATTTGATACTTCTTGAATTAATCTATCATTATTGACTTTAATATCAATGTTTATTGGAAATTTAGGGAAATTTTTAAATACTTCTGATAACAAAGGAAATTTTCTCTCTTCTTCGATTCCAGATCCGGTGTAAACAAAATCTAAAAAACTAAATTTTAGAACTAATACTATTAATAATAATAATAATAAATTGGTATTTTAATCTGTACCTGGGTCAAAATCCAATGCTAAATCTTTTTTCAGTAATGGAATGTCAGAATAATTTAATTCTGATATATTTCTATTATCACCGGTAGATCTTAATAAATTGTGATCATGTGAAACAACAACCATATCATCTTTTGTTAGGTGTACATCCAATTCTAACATGTCTGTACCAAGAGTAACTGATTTTTTGAATGCTGACATGGTGTTTTCATAATTTTCCCCAGCTCCTACAATTTAAAACATTGTAACATTATATTATTTTAATATCATGATAATAACAATAACTTGTGATTGAAATAAAAACAAGAAAAAAAAACTTTTATTGCTATATTTATTATATTGCTGAACCTCTGTATCATACATATATGCATACTAGTTTTTAACATTTAAATGTTAAAAGATTTTAAAATTATATTAACAAAGTTTTGAAATTTTGCTTTTTATTTAAGGGAATGATTTAATGCCATTTGGTGTTAAAATATAATTCATTAAATTTTTGATTTTATACAAATGTTTAATAAAAAACCTTTCTTTGGTATTCCAAAGTAATCATGTATAGGGAATACCAACCTCCCCTGTGGCTTATGTGTCGGCATTTAAAAGGTATTCTTTTTTTCTCATGAATAAGGTGAGGGTAACGAAAAAAAAACCATGAGGTTAAAAAATATCCACCAACAAATGCAAAAAAAGACATAATATTAATAATAATAATAAAGAAAAACTATCAACTTGTCATTAAATATTCACATCTTGGGATGTTATTAAAAGCATGCGCTCTATATTATTTTTTGGGCCACTTTTACTTTGCAAAACCGTTTTTATAAAATTTTTCAAATTACAATGGAAAAATTTTCTATTTGTAAAATTTCTCTTAATAACTTATTAAAATATTCTTAATCAATAATTGTTGATTTTATAGGAATTATAATTTTACTTATTGTAATATTATGTATTCGAATAATTATTGACATTGACTCATTCCCTGTCATTTTATAAAATTTAAAATTTGACATCTAAAATAATTACACTTTGAGTAACTTTATAATATCACTTAAATTGAAAAAATTACCCTAATTTTTATATTTATGATTTGCAAAGAAAAATAGTTAAATGTCAGATATTTTTAAATATTTTTGATATTAAATGGTGCAGGATGTAAAGGAAATAGATAATTTATGGACACCAATCGATTTAAAAAAAAATTAAAAAAAGAAAATGAAATATATAAATTCCATTTATTACTTTTATTTGTTTTTATTTATTAGTATACACAAATATAAAATATACAAGTAGATGTATAAATATATATATATTACTTCATTATTAAAGAAATTCTTTAAATATAAAAAGAAATTTACAATGGGATTAACAAAATAATTTTCTTTCTTAAAGCATACACTGAATCGTAACCTCCATTTACGCAAAAATTTTAAATATATTTTTAAATTTGCATTGAAAATAAATTAATTTTAGTTGTAATTATTAATTTTAATTAGCTTAAAATTTTAAGTAGTCACACATTTTAGTATTGTTAATGTAATATTGCACATTATTATTATTTACCAATGGTGTTATACATACAGTTTAACAACCATCAAAATGCAGGAACAAAATGGATAAAATCAGATTATTTAAACATAATAAATAGATCATGTCTCATCGAAATTTTTCGGTGGCCTGATTGTGCTGTTTCGTTTTATACAGTCAACTATCCAATGAATTCCTTCATCAATTCCTTCTCCATTTAAGGCTGATATAGGCATAACCATACAATCTCTTCTTCCTATTAAATGTGCATTTTGATTGAATATGGGTTTTACATCTCTGACTCCCATACAGTCAGGTATGTCTTGCTTATTAGCAAGAACTAAAAGAGGAACTCCTTTTAATGATTCACTTGAAATCATTTTATCTACAAAATAAAATTAAACATGTTTTAAAAAAAATAACTATAGCAAACTTTTTTTTCGAAGAAGTTTAAGTTAAAGAAAAAACCCACCAAAAGTTTCTTTCGATTCAGGAATTCTATCTCTGTCAGATGAATCTACAATGTAAATCACAGCATGCGACTCAGCATAATACTTATCCCATAATGATTGAAGTTCTTCCTGGCCACCCAAATCCCAAAAATTAAGTTTAACACCAGCTGTTATAATTTCACCTATATTAAGGCCAACAGTAGTTGTTATTTTATTGGGATTCATTCCTTTATAATTTTTGGTAAATTTTGTTTTGGCTACCTCTAAATAAGTCTAAACATAAAATTAATTAAATCGATTAACTAATAATAAATTTGTCATATTAAAAAAATTAACATTTTAATTTAAAAAATTTACTGTTTTTCCAGCATTATCCAATCCCAATATTAATATGCAATATTCATCTTTTTGAACCAAGTATTTATATAATCCATGGAGTAACGTATACATAACAAAATATTATTAAAAATTACTTTAATAAAAATACTAATTTTTTTTTTTTTTTTTTAATTAAAAACAAAAACATGTAAATTAATTATTTTTTCAATCATTTTACGTAATAAAATCATAAATAAATTTAATTTAAAAAAAAAAAAAAATTTCATATATCGTGGCTTTATTTATAATTGAAATATTAGTCTTAAATAACACACGTTTAAAACGAATAGCGCAGTCTGTAACGTGATAGCGTCGGAGTCGGATCGCCGCGAGTTCGAATTCTCCCGCTTTACACTGTGTAACAAAATATTTTTATTTAATTTTAATTTTTATAATTTAATGTTTAAAATAATTTTCTTTTTTTTTCTTTTTAATTATTTTATAATAAATCATTAAATATATTAAATATTAATATAAAAAAAAAAATAAACAAAAAATAAAGGAAATAAAATTTTTATTTTTGATTTTAATTTTTTTTTTTTTTTTTTAAGTAAAAATAATTATGAATTTTTTAAATTAATTATTTTTTTTATATAAATTATATAAATTTAATATTAATTATAATATATTTAATGATTTATTTATTTATTGGAAAAAAAAATAATTTGAAAATTGCAATGGCTACTTGTTGTTTGTGAAAATATTTAACGAATCCGGCGGGAAGGTTTGGTATTCAGTTATAATAATGTCTTTATGACAAACGGACAAACAAACAGACAAACAGACAGACAGACAGTTTTCCACGTGAAGTTTATTAACGTCGTTTTTTTTTTTTTTTTTCTTATTTTTTGTCATTATTAAATTTATATACATTTTTTTTTTGTATAAACCGTTTTTGTTTACTTTAAATTAAAGATTAGTAGATAAGATACCGTGTAAATTATTATTATTATTATTATTTCAAAAATGAATGATAAAAGAAAATCACGAAAGACAAAAATTTTAAATTGGTGGAAATATTTGGTTTTATTTTATATTATATTATTTTGCGTAAGTTTTTCATGGATTTCATACATACACATATTTTTAATTTAAGGTTTTTTATTCGAAAAACCTTTTTATACCTTTTAGTTAACCGGATTATGTATTGGAATATTTGCAAGTTTTTTATTAATTTTCCGACACGAGAGCCATGGGTTAGCTCCTAACGTCACACGTTATTTTATTATCGTTCCATCTTTATTTGTTATTTTTTCAACATTTGTTGGATGGACTTCTGTCAAACAGAAAAATGTTTCACTCATTAAAATTGTAAGTAATATTATTATTATTATTATTTCCTTTTGGCTATGATATTTTAAAACAAGTAGTTTTATGTAGATAAAACTTGACATATTTATTAAACATGTTCATTTTTTTTTTTTGTTTACATTTTTATTAGTTTTCCATTCTTTTATGTGTTACTGCTGTGTTAGAAGTAGGTGGAAGTTTGTGGTGTTTTTCAACAATACCAAAAAATCAAAAATTGATTATTAATCAAATATCTGATAGTTTTAATAAAATTACAACAAGTTCACAAAGTAAAAATTATTGGGATAATCTACAGAAAAAGGTTAGTTAAATTATTATTATTATTACAGTTGAGAAAAAATTTTTAATTGTTAAATTTTTTATATTAAAAAAAAAATATAGTTTAAATGTTGTGGTTTCCATGGACCAGGAGATTATCATTTAAAACAATCATTACCATTTTCATGTTGTGGATCAGATGATAATGATAATCATTTTCAAGGGTCTTGTAGTTTGGTTTGGCAAAAAGGTTGCTCTGATATTTTATCAACTAAAACTATGAATGATTTAATTTTATTGGGATTGATTGGAATTATAATTGCATTGATTCAGGTAAAAACAAACAAAACAACACACATTTTAATACTTTATATTTATTTATTTATAATTTAAATTAATTACTTTAATTTTTGTCAAATAATATATATACTGTAATATAACTTATGATTACCTGATACATGAGAATAAAAACTACACTTTTTATTTAATTAGTTTTAAATGTACTGGGGGGGGGGGGGTAAAAAAAAAAAAAATTGAATACTTTTATTATTTCAACTCACATTTACATACCTCCTTTTTTTTTACAATAACTTGGTAATTATAAGGTTTTATTTTTTCAGGTATGATTTCATATCATATATAAATAATTATTTAAACATTTTTTTTTTTTTGTTACAGATACCAGGTATCTTTATATCATGGTGTTTTGCAAACAGAATCCCTCAAGAGTCTATTTAAAAATTATTATTATTATTATTATTAAATACATGACAATTCACATTCATTTTTTTTTCTTTTTTTTTTAAATATTATGAATTTGATGACTAAATATTAATAATACAAAAGATGTTAAATACATCTTAAAATATCTATCTACTATTTTTTTAATACATTTTTTTTTCTTTGTAGTAGTATTATAACACTTTCTTTCTTTTTTTCATTATACATAACATTTAAATTAATAATTTTTACAAGGATTCTTCTTATACACTTTCAATTTATCACTTACATTCCTTATTATGAAAAAATAAGTAAATTTATGTAAATAATTGATAACTTTATCTCTTACTAAAACTAACGTAGCTCATACAGTTCGTATTTAACGACAACAACACAACTTTTTAGTGTGATGGACATGGTTAAAGAAATGAATGGTAAACAATTTTTTGTTTTTCAACTAACTCAACGTCTAAATTTGTATCCTTGAAAATTTCTATAATATCCATAATCAGGTCCATAACTGGTATTATAATTATTATCATTGTGTCCGAAATTATTGTAACCGCCGAAATGACCAAAATTATCATAGTTATTAAAAGCTTCATTAGTGGCATATCTGTTTTCATAATAATGTCCTCCGTATCCTCCCATACTATCATAATATCTTTCATTTCGCCACATGATGTTTTCGTAACCGTTACGCTCCCTCGTAAAATTAACCCTGAATTCATCAAAATTACCATTTCCGCCAAAATTAAAATCATTATTCATGCCATCGAAATGGCCATTTCCTCCTCCCCTGTGAGGTCCTCTCGTTCCTAAAGCTTGCAGGCCTAATGTCAAACCTGCTTTGAAAGCTCTATCTTGTTGCTCTAGTTCTGCAATGCGTCTCTCTATAAAAGAAAATTATCATTATTTTTTCTAACGTTTCAAAAGTTTTCCCTCAAACAATTTTTGTGAAAATTTTCAACCGTACCATATTTTTCAACTAAGCTTAATGCCGGATCCATGTGTCTAAGAAAAGGCGGAGGAAATTTCCCTGATTGGTTTCCGCCTGAAACAAGTAATTTTATTGGTTAAAAAAAAAAAAAAAAAATTAACCGTCGCATGTAATCATTTGATTTTAAGGTACGACTTTTTATAGTAGAAAGTACCTGCAAGAGGCTGCTTTCTATAATAATTACGATGTCCTCTTCCCCTTTTTCGAGACCCTCCTCCACCATTCTTGCTATTTTTTTTCCCTTTTTTACCCTTATTCAAATTTTTAACTGATTTACTTTTATTGCTGCTTATTATTATTATTATTATTATTATTATTATTATTATTATTATTATTATTACGAGCTGCTTTATTTTCAGGACTTTCATTCGAAGAAATCTTACCACCATTACGTGACATTTTCTTACTGACATTTTTCTTTTTTTTATTTTCGTCTTTACGTAATTGAGGCGGCTTCTTGATAGGTTGAGGAGGTGGTTTTTGTGCTTTTGGAAAAACAGAAGGATCTATCTAAAAAAAAAAAAAATTACTTTCGAACTTATGTACATAGAAATAACGCTGTTCTTTAAAAAAAAAAAAAAAAACAAATCTCATTAGATTTACCCTTTCAAAAAGTATAACAATGGTATTATTCACTGTGTACGGTGCCACGTCGATAGGTATGGCTCTGACAGGGAGAAAAGGTAAACCGGAAAAAATTACATTTAGGGGGTTACCCAAAGTCCCCTCTTTTCTATCGGCTGCAGCACACAAATCTAAAATGTTTTTGGCACCCATTTTACTATTCGAACATACGTAAACTAATTTTTTAATGTTCTCGTTCGCTCTCAATTGACTTATTGCCTTTTGTACTAAAATGATAAACGTAATTACTGCTTAAATCTTGTTTTTTTAATCACTGATATTAAAATATACCAATAATATTTACCAAGTCCTTGCCTCGGAGGATCTATTATAGGAATAATGGGAACATCTCCTCCTAATCTGTCAAAAACTTTACCCAATTCATCTTCGACTTTACCCTTGATGAACTCGACATTTTGTATGTTATTTAATTCTTTCGTTTTAAGAGCATAGTTTATGTGATCACTATGAGATTCGATAGCAATCACATTTTTACATCTCTAAAAAAAAATATAATATACCATATTATACCTATTATCCAGGTTATAAAATCCAAGGAAAAAACCGTGGGCATACATTACATTTGCAATAGTAAATGCTATTCCACCAGTTCCAGAACACAAGTCCAGAATAATTGTTTCGGGAGTGGGATCGGCAAGTTCAATAATAGAATTATAAATGTTTTCGGAGGATGAAGAATTTACGTTTAAAATAGAAAATGGACCGACGTAAAATTTTAATCCACATATATTTTCTAAAAAGTGAGTTTCGCCGTGTAACAATTCTAATTTTTCCCTGGGGGGGACAGGATACCTGTAAAAAAAAGAAAAATAAAACAATTGTTCGTTAATTTGAAAAAAAAAATTGTAATTTTTTCTTTAATTTTAAATAAAAGTTATCTCAAATAACTTACTTGTCGTACATTGTATGAAAATATAAAGAATGTAATTTGCAATCTCGTCCTTCTCCATTTACAAAATATTCTCTCACTTGATTTTTAATTTCGATAATACTTTCATCTGATAAATTGTTATGGTACATTACAACAACCAACATTAAACTCCCTTCAGGAGTTGTGCGAATAGTAATGTGATCCCAAAATCCAGATTTTTGCTTCTTGACAAAAGGTTCCTTCCCGGATGTTCGAATAAAGTCTTCAAATTTCTAAATTTATAAACATTTCTATAAATATTGTCAAACGGGATATTAACAATAATGTGTGTGTTATCCTTAAAATTAAAACAATAGTATTTTAATTTATGGGATAAATTTTTAAGTGTGTCTCCATGATGAGAAAAAATCTTCTTATACATTTCACACACAAACTTTTAAAATTACCATGATTTTTTTTTTTTTTTTTTTTTATTAAAGATTATAAAAAAAAAAAAAAAAAAGAATTTAGATGCTAAGCGCATCATAAATGTTGAGTACCAAAATTGTGGGCGATTTTCTACAATGAAGCGAATTAATTAAATTATTTTAAATAAAACACTTCATTGCTTGTTTTTACAAACTTTTAAAAAGTTATGTAGTGATGCACAGAAAAAAATACCTCTTGCACATGGAGCTAATTGTGACTTCCAGTGCAAGAGTTCATACCTTTGCTGCATATTTCATGCTATCTGGTAAATGTATAAGTTTGTCGCCCGGTCGAACACCCAGGATTTTATTTTCATTATCATTCAAACAAAATCCAACAGTGGTCTTTCCTTCAATATTTTTCCCTACAGTAAATAAAAGAAAAATAATTACAAGACCTTTACTTTCATTTTATTTAACTTTAAACCGATAAAACATTGTCATATCCTTTATTTATCCCGACATGAAAAAAAATTTGATCAAATTGTTAGCTTCTTGTTTGGCACTGTATATATTTAACTTATCCAGGTAAATAATATTTCGGCACTTGAATCCCTCACATTTAGTAATTAAGTTACTTGAAATTGTGTTTGATATTTATAATTTAAATATAAAAGTAAATGTAAAATGAACTAGGGTTGCTAAAGTTATACAACAATTTTAGGCACTAATAAAATTGTAAATAAACAGAAATGTTAGTCTAAACAACATTTTAGATCATAAATCATAGTAATGTAATTAATTACTAATTTAATAATAAATTTTTTTTTAGCGGTTTTAGTATTTCTCAGGCTTACCAACTCTAAATTTGCACTTATTCCTATAGCCTTGTAAAATGGGAGAAGTTTTTAAAGGCTCAATTTTAAAAATGGAATTATTATTTTTTAAGCACATCAATTCTGCCCATCCTGCCAGATCTGGATTCCTAACATACATAAAAGAATGTAATTTATTTGATAAAATCTCAACATCAACTATTGACAGTCGATTCTGTAATAATCAAAACTTATTTAAGTTTCTATTAGGTTTATTTATTGACAAAAAAAAAAAAAAAATTCTCTTACTTGTTCTTCATAGGGAACATTGTATAAAGGAAGTGATTCTGATAAAATTTCCTCTTCAAGAGTTAAAACTGGCACTTCATCTATTTTTGCCTTTTTGTTTTCTGGACCTTCAGAAGTTTCATTTTTCCGTTTTAAAACATTTGTTGGATATATTGCGATTGCTCTCAAGGCTTTCTTTTTCCATATGTGATTGTGAAGTAGTCTGACAATATTTTCTTGTTCTTCTTTAGTTGCAAGTGGTATTATAACCCAAGGACTATTTTTACCAGGAGAAATTATTTTTTGTATTTTAACTTTAAATGTGGTTATAATATGCTTTTGAAAATCCTGTAATTATTTATATTTTTTTTTATATAATATCAATCTTAAATTATAAAAAAAATTTTTTTTTGTCAAAATGTGTTTTTTAAGGTTTTTTAAATTTCAAATAATAATGTACAATTTGATGCCACTAACTTATAAATTACTAATTCAAAATATAAGAGAAAGTTTTACCTACCGAAGGAATATAATTTGCTGGTAAATGGCTTATTTTAACTTGATAAGGGAGATCTGGACTTATGCTATCACTTTCTTTAAATATGTTATTTTCATTTTCAATATTATCACCCTTTTTTTTACTGTCATTTACTTCTTGTTTCATTTGCAATGTTTGACTTTCACAATTTTCTGGATATTGTTTTTCTTGGGTTTTTCCACACGCATCAAATTTTTCTTTTATTATCACACTTTGTTCTTTAATACCATCATAATTTTTTAGTTCTGTATTTTCTTGTAAAGTTCGATTATTTTCTTTATTTAATGGATTTATGTATAATTTTTCATTTAATTTAACATTTTCGTTAATAATTGATTTACAATCAAATTCTTGGTTACCTAAATTATCTTTACTGTTTTCAAATTCAAAATTTTTGTTTTCTGATTTTACATCACTTTCTAAATTACTATTTTCAAGTTTTAAGTTTTCCTGAATTATTTGTAAATCAGTAGAAACATTAAAATCAATTGTGTTTTCCAAATATTCAGATGAAAGTACTTCATCTGATTCTTCTTTATTAATGAAATTTTTTTCTTCAGCTACATTGCTTTCAATAAGATTGAAAGAATCATTAATTTCTGCCGGTTCGGACATATTATCAAACTGCTCTATATTCTCAGATGTGTTTTCCATTTTACAGTTTTCACCTTTTTCTAAAGGTATAAAATCCTCACTAATATCTACATTATTATCCGACTCTTTTAGATTTCTAGCTTTTAGAGAATAATTTCCTCTTTTTCTTGAACCCCGCCTAGGTGGCATTCTCACGTAATTATTTAATAACAAATTAACAAAATAATATATTTAAATTTGCTAAAATCATTGATTATTTATTTCAGGGCCCTTTTCAAAATTTTTATTTAAAATAAATTACGTTGGCATTACTTCCCAACATGTGGTCGAGAGTGAATTTTTAAAGTAGTCGTGTTGTTGTATGTTGTTAATTAATTAATTTTTTAAATTATAATCATGGTAGCTAAAAGAAAAAAGAAGGTAATAACATTAAAAATAAATTATTAAATTTAAAATTTTATTTTAAATGTTTTCTAATACTTGGCTTTTATTTAATTTTATTAAGTATGAATCAGGAGAAGCAGCTCAGTATATGTCAAGAAGAGCTGCATTGAGATACCTGCAACTTTCTTTGAAGGATTTTAGGAGATTGTGTATCTTAAAAGGAATATACCCGCGTGAGCCAAAAAAAAGAAAAAGAGCTCAGAAAGGAGCTACTAGTATTCAAACATTGTATTACAAAAAAGATATTCAATTTCTACTTCATGAACCCCTGATTTGGAAATTTAGGGATTTAAACGTTTATTTTAAAAAAATTGGGCGAGCCAGCTCTTTGAAAGAATTTGCAGAAATGAAAGCTTATTTAAATAAACATCCAACTATTACATTGGATCATTTAGTTAAAGAAAGATATCCAACCTTTATAGATGCATTAAGAGATTTAGATGATTGTTTAACTCTCTGTTTTCTATTTAGTACTTTTCCATCTATGAAACATGTACCTAGAGATCAATCGGCTTTGTGTAGGCGATTAACTATTGAATTCATGCATGCTGTTATTGAAGCCAAAGCCTTACGAAAAGTTTTTGTGTCAATTAAAGGATATTATTATCAAATTGAATTCAAGGGAGAAACAATTACATGGATAACTCCTCACAATTTTTGCTTTCAGGTAAGCATTTATTTTTTATTAAAGTTATTATAAGTGATTTTTGTTACTAATATTTTAAATTAATGATTTTAGCCTCAAAACAAAGAAGATGTTGATTTTAAAATTATGTCAATATTTGTACAATTTTATGTTGTTTTACTGGGATTTGTCAACTTTCATATGTATCACTCTTTAAATTTAATGTATCCTCCAAAATTGTCTGGTTATGAAATCAATAAAGATGAAAATGAAATGTTGGATGATGAAAATTTTATATCTGAAAGAGTAGCAGCTCTAAGTACACCTATTACAAAAACTGGAAAAGATATACCTGAAGAAAATGAAATGGATCAATTTCCTACAGTGAGATTTTTTTTTTTACAAAATTTTTGAATTTTCAGTAATCATTTACAGTTTTTTCAAAAGGTAATAATTTTAGGAAGAGGGAGAAGAAGCAGAAGCTGAAATGGAAGACAAAAAATTGGAAATTGCCAAAATTCAAAAATTAAAAAACTTATTTAAAGATAAAAAATTTTTTTTAAACAAGGAAGTTCCTAGGGAATCCCTGGTATTTGTAATAAGATGTTTTGGCGGATTAGTTTCTTGGGATAAAACTTGTTTTCCTGGAGCTACATTTGATGAAAAAGATGAAACTATTTCTTACCAGATAGTTGATAGGCCCAGTTTTACAAAACAGTACCTTTCTAGGTGAGTACTTTTCTTTTTTTTTTTATTCAAAAGTGGTATTAAATCTAAATTTATTCCAAATTTTATAATGTATTGTTTGTTTGCTTTTAATTATTTACTAAAAGGTATTACATTCAGCCGCAATGGGTGTTTGATTCCGTCAATGCATGTCAATTATTGCCTGTTGAGAAGTATTTACTAGGTGCAATTTTGCCTCCTCATTTATCACCATTTACTAACGAAGGAAAAGATCAAATTTACATTCCACCAGAGGAAAAAATGCTTAAAGATCCTAATTTTAAATCGGAAAATTTAAAAGATTATGATTCAGAAAGTAATTCTGACTCGGAAGAAAATAAAAATGATCTTGAAGATGTAAAAAGTTCTGATGATGAAGACCCTGAGACAGTTGGAGAGGACAATTTAAATTCTAAGGCATGCTTTTTTTTTTTTTTCCATGAAAATCTATTTTATTTTTTAAATTTATATATAAGTTATAATGTGTAATATGTAATATTGCAGACAAAAGGAATGTCGGTTAAGCCTGGAGAAGTTTTTAGAGAGAGCAAAATTAAAAAGTTTATTGAAAAAAAACAAGAACATTCATTAAAAGAAAGAATGGTGCCTAACAAATACAGAAAATTATATCAAAGCATGATGGAAGGAAGGAAAAAGAGAGCTAAGGAAATTTGGCTTCTTAATAAAAAGAGAAAACGCATTGATGCTGAGGCAAGAAAAGAAGCGAAAAAAAAAATTGTTGACAATTAAATACAAAATAATAAGAAGTGTAACATTGCTTGTAATATATACTTGAAAGTAAATGTATTTAATTATTGATTACATATAATACATTAAATATATTAAAATATTGACTTTAAAAAATTTTAGAAAAAAAAAAAAATCAAAATTCCATTAGTATATAAATATTATATATTTTATTCCAGATTTATAGTTAATAAGCTATGATTACAAAATGTGATAAATATATTAATAAGCATTGTTATTATTGTTCGTCTTCTTCGTCGTCTTCAATTTCTGGCATAGGAAATCGCAAAATGGCTGCAACCCCAGTTAACTGCGCTAATTCTAACAAAAAAAAAAAACTAATCGTAAAACTTTTTTTTTTTTGTAAATAAAATAATTGTACAATATTTGATACTTACGCTCTCCGGATACGTGCATACTCGAAAAAATTTTGACATCCCCTCCAGAATCTTTAACGCTGTCAACCAAACGCACATATCTTTTTCTTTTACTAACGTCTTGCATTCTGAAATTATAAATAGATTAAAAATATAAAAGAAATTAAAAATATGTACATGTAACTCACTGCGATTTCAACAAACCTAAAAAGATTATCCGAAAGTAGTAGAATTTCTACGGCTTGACTTTCAGCAGCTTTTTCAACGTGTTTTAATCCATAATAGGCTTTAGCAGGTTCAGTTTGTAACATTGAATAAAATGATTCTAAAGCTCTAATCTCTCCTGCAGCTTTTGTGTCTGCTAATTTTGCTACAACAACTTGATCTGATAAAACTTCTGTAATGCATAATAAACTGACTTTTAAAATTAACATATTATATAAAAAAAAAATTTACTTTACATAATTTAATATCAATAATTTTGAAAATAAAAACAAAGTGATTTTAAATTATTAAATTAAATTTTTCAAACATTGAATGTGTGTGTGTGTAAAATAACTAACCTTTTAGTGAATGTTTAAAACCACTAGAGGAATGAACGAGAACAAATTTTCCTTTATTTTCAAGAAGTATTTTATTATCATTTTTTACAGCTTGTTGAATCATAAATTCGAAAAATTGATCTTTTACAAATCCAGGACTGGCAATCAAAACACATTTTACAACATCAAAATTAACATGACGCAATATTCCTTGCATAACATTTTCAAAGAATTTTGTCAATCCCTAAAATGATCAAACATTTAAATTTTTTCCTACAAAAAATTAATTAATATTTCATTATTTTGTAGTGCTCGGTAAATTTTAATACTTTTTCATGCTGTTGAACATTTCCTTTTCTTTTTCTGGGGATAACTTGATCAATTTTAGTTCTAACCAAAGTCATACTTGATGTGACTAAGCAAATGTGAGCTAAACCTTCTTGCATGACAACAGCTGCTAAATCGGCATTTTGAGTGGGATCGCAAGCCATATCAACTCTTTCCAAAGAAACAGAATCCCATTCACTTTTAGTTAATTCAAATTTTCTATTTAACTCCAAGTCCAAAGTGTGATAAGCTCCCATCTGCAAAATATTTCAGATAAAAGATTTGGTGATGTATTTTGTAGGTATAAAATTTTACATATAATTTGTTGAAACAATCTTTTCGTGAATTTAAATTCATCTAAACTTTTTATAATTTATGTATTTGTTGTTTAACTTATTTTGTGTTATGTATTTTTATTTTTAATGAAACATTAATGTCATTACCTTAACATACTGGTTTTCTTCTATATTTCTTCCCTTTAAACGTAACATGCAAGCTTGTGTATCAAAATCAATGTTTTCAACTTGAATACGAAGCATTGTTCTAATTCTACTACTTGTCGATGATCCAGTAGATGATTCATTTTGAACTTTTCTAATTGTGGATGCTCTTACACAATCACCTTCACTAATCAAATTGTATGCATGCCACATGTCTTCAGCTTCTTCAGGTATAAGACTAACACTTCTGTAATTTAAAATGTTGTATTTTTAATTCATGAAAAAGAAACTGATTTATACCTACTTTAAAATTATAATTTTTTTTTTTAACTAGTTTCGTTCAAATTATGAAAATAATGTCTTAAAGCACATTATATTAGTAAAATTCCACCCTCTGTATTTAATGAATACTATGTAATATTTTGAGATTCAGATAATAGAACTTAACACCCAATAAACGAAATTAAATTTATTCGTCTTCAAAGTGTGGAAAATAAAAAAACACAAACCCTCCACCATCCTTTTCTACGTATTTGTGTAATAATTTCATATTGATTCACTTAAAACTTTAAGATAAAGTCCATATTTTTTTCTAGAAAATTTTAGTACAGTACGTGTCATATTTAAGGGTATAGGTCTTACAGACAAACTGTTTACAAAATTTCTCTTCTGCTTGAACCGAGCCAAAATTATCTTTTCGGGCCCCAAATAACGGCTTAAATAAAAAAATTCAATTTAAAAAAATTTTTTAGGTAAACCTAATAATAATGTAAACTTTTTTTTTTTTGGGGGGGTAAAATGAATAAAATTTACATATATAACTTTATATATATTTTTTTTAATGAAAAAATAAATAATAATAAAATAATTTACTTAATTATATATATTATGTCAAAAATTTACTATTTATTCGATATTTAAATGATAACTATAGTTCAGTATGATAATTATTTTTTTTTGACAGTAAATCTGACAAATGAAACCATTCATTGTAAACTTGAATTGGATCAATCATCCAGTGTTTATGAAAAGAAATCGGTGGGCCAATCATTAAATATTCATCACTGTAATCATTAGGTCTTGCCTATAAAAAAATTTTTTTTTTTAATTAAGAAAATTAATAACTTTATAATATTTTTAAAAAATTATTTACCTGATGAAACAAAGGTATGTGTATAATTGTAATATTTAGTTGCTGAAAACAAATGCCTAATAAAAACATGTCATCAGGTGTTGAATTAGAAGGACATTCACAATTATTTGATGAAAATTTCATTATAGCTGGTCTACTTAAAACAACTCCACTTCCTCCAGTTAAGTAATTATATCCATAGTTTGAAAAAACATTGTATCCATATCTTTCACCTATTGCAATAGGTTCATTACTATTGTAACAACCCAAGAGTTCTTGTAACCTGTAAGTACTAAAAATCTAAAAGTTGATAAAGAAAGTATAATTTTGCAAAAAAAAAATTTTTTTTTTTTAATTTTACCTAAATAGTGTATCATCATCACTGATCACAGCCCATTCTAACAATTCATTTACCTCCATTTTTTTTTTAATTTCAGATATTATGGCTTGAGTTTTTCCACAATGTCCTTGCTCAGTATTAGGAACTTTAAGTTGTACAGTAGGAATACTTTTATCTGTGATGCAATAATTATGCTTACAATTTTCATTTTATTACAAATTTTAAATTATTATTATTTAAATGTTGTTTTTTTACCATAAACATCACTGTAAAATGTGATGTGGTAAGGCCTTTGAGCCCAGGTTTTCATCACGACAGGAATTCTATCTAAATGATATTTTTGACAAGTTTTTACAGCGAAATATATATTTTCTAAATCTACTGGTTTTTGATCCTGTAAAAAAGTTAATTTCAATTGTTAAAAAATAATAATAAAATACAAATTTAATGCAGATTTAGGTAAGTTCATAAACTTACACAAATAAAATTATTTTTTATGTGAGTAGCACAATATTTTTTATGATTTATACAAAAATAAGGAGTTGATGTTAAAGTTGTACCATTTCCATAATCTTTTATAAACTTGGCTAATTCATAAGAAGCATCAATAGAAAAATCTGTATTTCCCTTAAATTCTTCACTTAAAATTGTTTCTAATAATCTAATAAAAAAAAAAAAAAAAATGACCATAATTCATTGAATTATAATTAAAAACTAAACTTTTAATTTAAATGAAACTTACAAACTGACTAAATTATAATGCAATGCAAAACCTGCAGGTAGTAATGGATACTTAAATTTTGTAGATGCATAAAAGTGATGTATAATTGTGGGTGCCTTGTCATGTAATCCACGACCGATAAATGTAGTATTAGGTTTTGCATTTTCTAATATTTCTTTCAGTTTTTCAGTGTCTACTTTAGTATCATCAGTGCAAAAGAATACCCATGTAAACTTCTGTTTATGTTTTTTCCACAGCCTGTGAATAATTTGTTTATCGATTACAATGTTTATCATTTTCAACATTTCAAATTTTATATAATGAGGAATACTTTTTTTTTTTTCTGGAAATAACCCTAAAAATAAATTTCCTACATCTTACTTCCCTTAAAAAATACTGACTTACATGGGTAAAACTGGTAAAACAGTCCAAGCTCCTACATGTGTAAAATCTTTATGAGTTAAATAAACTTTACTAGAAAAGTTTGTTTGCTTCTCAATATTATATTTTAATTTTAATGCCCTCTCTTCATGTCTAAAATTGTTTTGACTAATGATAGTGTAAATTATATTTTTGTGCTCTAAAGAATAAAGTTTACAAATTTATTTAAATAAAGGAAACACAAAGTTTTGTTTTTCATTAATGTTTAATTATAAATACCTAGTCTTTCTGAAAAAATAAAATTAAAAAAAATTGGAATAAAAAGTAAAATACACTTTTCTTGTAAAATATTCATTTAACTTTCTATTAGTGTATTAATATCTCGCATTTATGTAAAACAAATTCTCCGATTCTGAAGAAAATTTAATAATAATTATTATTATTTGTAACACCGGGTGAAAGCAAGGAACTTGATAAAAAATTGGATTTATTGAATAATGTAACAACTACAACAGTGAAATCATTTAACTCAAATATTTAATGCTGTATAATAATATTTTCTGAAGCATTTACTTATTAATACTACTTTGTAAATTACAAATTATTAAATTTTACATAAAGAAATGTATTAGCATGTAATTAATCTAAGGCCACGTTAGAATGGTTAGAACGCCATATCTGTCTTTAAAATTGTCACGTTTTACGTTACGTTAGGGAAGTTCAAATTATTTTTAAATATAAGTCCTATGATTTCCTGATGTTCTATTATAAATAAACATTTTTAATTACAAAACTTTTAAACTTATAATATAAGTAGCCGGAACGAATGTTTTTTTTTTTTATTTCTTTTTGTTGTATTATTTGTTTTAACATTTGAAATTAGTGAGAAATAATGTGAAAAATTGTTTTTTTTTTTTTTTTTTTGAACTTCAAATTAATTTTTCATTATAAAATGTATAAGTATTCAATTAATAGTATTTTTTAAAATGGTATACTTGTTGTCTGGATTTACTTTCGTCGGTCCTTTTTTTTTTCCACTTTGTATATTTCTACTTATATTTTTTCTTGCTTGGAACGTTAAAAATGGTTATGTCAGAAATAAAATTTTTAAATCTAATTTTAATGAAAATTTAACCGATGTGTCGCATAATATAATTGAGTCATCTAATAAATCCGCCGCTAAAAGTAAGCCATTACTGAAAAGTGAATGTTGTAAAGAAGATGATGAGAAAAATTTATTTAATAATGAATCCGTTTTCAAAAATGTTAAAATTTATTATGGCTCTGCAGGAGGGAAAGCAAAGGTTTGTAAAAAAATTTATAATTGTAAATTTCAAATTTATATTTTTAAAATATTAATAATATTTATACCATTTAATGTTTTATACTGCAGTTGTTCAGTGAAAAATTAGCAAATTGTGCAAAGGATTATAATATAATCAGTGAAGTAATTAATTTATCTCATTATGAAGCAGAAGACAAACTTCCTAATGAAAAATATTGTGTAAATGTATTTATTTTATCTACTTACGAAGGAGGTAAGCCACCTCCGAATGCTGAATGGTTTTGTAAATGGCTAGAAGAAGTTTCTAGCGACTTTAGAGTGCATAAAAGTCTTTTGAAAAATGTTAAATTTGCTGTATTTGGACTCGGAAATTCTTTCTACAGCGATAATTTTAATAAGGTAAAAAAATTTTTATCGTACTCTAGGTAAAAATAAAAGTTTTTATTTTTAAATATTTTTTTACTTTTTGTAGGTAGCCATTAACGTAGACAAATGTCTTCACAAATTACAAGGGGAAAGAATAAAAAAAATTTCTTTAGGTGATGAAAATGTCACCAATTCTAAAAATGGTTCTATAGAAAAAGATTTTGATGTTTGGGTCTGGGAATTGCTTGATTTATTAAAAAATCCTGAAAAAGTGAAATTGGGATGTAAATGCAATGGAAAAAAACAGGTAATTTTTTAATTATGTGAATTCTAGTTTTTAATTATGCCACATTTTAATTTTTATTTATTTTAAAATAGAATGGAAACTGCAAAACAATTGAATCAGATGGTTATAATGATTCTTCAGATGAAAATGAAGGCACTAGTTATAGTTCTGGAATAATTGATGTTGAAGATCTTGGTCAAAAAATTTTGTCGAGTAAAAGTGCAGATAATGGTATCAGAGATATGGTAACAGACCAACTTTCAGCTACTTTAACCAAACAGGGATATAAAATTATAGGATCTCATTCTGGAGTTAAACTTTGCAGATGGACAAAAGTAAAAATTTATTATTTTGTTTATTTTTATTCAAATAATTTTTTTTTTTTTCATAAAATTTTTTAAATTGGTAATTAGGCAATGTTACGAGGTAGAGGAGGTTGTTATAAACATACTTTTTACGGCATTGAGAGTCATAGATGTATGGAAGCTACACCATCGTTGGCATGTGCCAATAAATGTGTTTTTTGTTGGCGTCATCATTCTAATCCTGTAGGTACGGAATGGAAGTGGAACATGGATGATCCAGAGTTTATTATTAATGGAGCCCTAGAAAACCACTACAAAATGATAAAACAATTTAAAGGTATGTATTACTTATTAGATTATAAACAAATATGAAACTTTTATTAATTAAATAATTTCTGTAGGAGTTCCTGGCGTATCATTGGATAGATTACAAGAGGGTATGACTGCTCGTCATTGTGCCTTATCACTTGTAGGTGAACCTATAATGTACCCGGAGATAAATAAATTTATTACATTGTTGCATGAAAAGCAAATTTCTACTTTTTTAGTTACAAATGCTCAGTTTCCTGATGCCATCAGGTATGATTTATTTATTTTAAAATTTAAATTGTTTATTAAACACATACTAATTTACTTTAAAAAAAATTTTTTTTTTTTAGAAATCTAGTTCCTGTAACTCAGCTTTATGTTAGTGTAGATGCCAGCACGAAGGACAGTTTAAAAAAAATTGATAGGCCACTTTTTAAAGATTTTTGGGAAAGATTTATTCAAAGTTTGAAAGCTCTTTCTGATAAAGGACAAAGAACTGTTTATAGATTGACCTTGGTGAAATCATGGAATGTTGAAGAAATACAAAATTATGCTGATTTAGTTAATCTTGGAAAACCAGATTTTATTGAAATTAAAGTATTAAATTATTTTTGAAATTTAAAAAAAACTTTTCGAGAGATGTTATTATTATTGTAACTTCTTATTCGGCAAACTTTTTTAGGGTGTGACTTATTGTGGAACTTCTAAAGCCTCAAATTTGACTATGGAAAATGTTCCCTGGCATAGTGAAGTCGTATCATTTGGAACGAAATTATGTTCTTATTTAGACAATTATAAATTAGCGTGTGAACACGAACATTCTAATTGCATTTTGTTAGCAAAAACAAAATTTTTAATTAATGGAAAATGGCACACTTGGATAGATTATGATAAGTTTCATTCATTAGTCAAAAATTATCAATCTTCTAACGGAGAAAAAACTTTCTCGTCAGATGTACGTTCATTAAATTTCTTTCTTTTTTTTTTTTTTTTTTTTTTACCAATACATAAATATGTGGACCGAATTACATTTCATTTCATTTTCTTTGCGCTAGGATTACATTCAAGAAACTCCGAGTTGGGCTATTTACGGATCTTACGAAAAAGGTTTCGACCCTACTGAAACCAGATGGAAGAGGAAAAAAGAAAATTAAATTTTGTAAAAACAAATTAATTTTAATAAAACATTACATTACATTAATAAAAAGAATAACTATGCAGTGACCCATTTTTTTATTTGCTAATTTCTTTTGTTTTTTTTTTTTTTTATCCTTTTTTTAAAAATTTAATATTTTGATTATTTATTTTTTGTGATGAATATTGCAATTTGAACACTAAATGTATTTTAACGAAATTTTGTTGAAATTATTTTTATTTCAAATCTAAAATACTATATTTATACAAAGAAATTTTTAGAGTGATTATTTCAATTTTAAACAAAACTGAAAACTTACCGCCAAATCTAAGGCCCCGAAGTATCATTTCCGGTAAGATCTTATAATTGTGTTACCCTTTCCTTAAATATTACAAAAATGAAATTTTTTCACGTTATAAATGATAATATAATTAGCAAAAATATAAGTTAATGAAAAAATTAAGTGAAATTTAATTTTATCGTGCAATACATGTCACTCAATTGAAATTGTTAAAATGGATGATTTAGGTAAGTTAAAAAATAAGTATTTATTTGACAGATGACTAATAACTTCACATAATTCTAAAATAATTTTCATACTTTTATTAATTATATCTCTCTTATTTAAACTTTACCACACAAATATTAAACAATATTATTGTCAAATCAAAAAAAGGAAAAGGTTTTAAGGTATTTTCTAATGAAAAATATTCAAATTATTTTCACTACTTATAACATTGCCCTGAATTTTATTGTAAACCATTAAAAAATTTTCTAAAAAAGGTTATTATTGCTACCTATACTTTTTATTAAATTTAGTTTTTATGTAACAATTTATATTTTACAAAGTCCTTTGAAGCATGGTTTTTACGATTGTTATAACTGTTAAACCTTTTTAAATTAAGTGTAATTTAATTTCTGCTTGTATTTAGGAAATAATTATGCTATTGTTATGAATAGCACGAATGGAAAATAACTATTGCATTTCGTAAATGTTAGATTTATGCTTAAGAAAAAATTTTTCCTCTAAAAATCAATCATACCAAATCAATTCTTAGTATTTCATTATTATTTCCTAAAATTGATAACATTTATCTATTAAATAGTAAATATTTACTATTATTACTATTATTACTTTTATTTTTAAGCGACATTTCCCTTGATATATATATATATTATGTTTGATTTTATTTTTAAAATTCTATTAATATACATTTACACGAGCGAGTAAATTTATCACATCATTTTTATTTATTTATAATCATATTATTATTATTATTAATCATTATTGATGCAGTATATTTCTTAATGTATTTTTCAGAAGCAAAAGCTAATTATTTATTTTTTCAAATTTTTTTCAACATAATTAATAATTTTCAAATAATTACCCCAAGTATTAATTACATTGTTTTATTCATTATTAAATTTTCACTATATATATATATATTTATATTTTTATGCATACATAAATTTACTTAATATCGACATACCTAGATATATATACCTGATATTTTACATTTGATTCACAATCGAATACTTTTCTGGAAAAAAAATAATTTGGTACCTGTACCTGTAAAACAAGTTTAATTTCGATATTAAATTTTAATTTTGATAATATTTAATTTAATATTATTTTACTTTTTTTAATGGTAAAACATTTTCTCAATATTTCCAAGGTTAACAATATAATTTTTATATATTATAACATTCAAAATTTATATAATTATTTAATAGCTCGACTAAATTATAAAAAAAATTTTATCGTAAAAGTTTCAATAATACTTTACCCCAAAAAAAAACTAATTTAAATATTTTTTTTTTTATTTATTAATAATCACGTCACTGTTTAATAATTCTATTCGATTTATTTTAATAATTAATTTAAAAGTAAATAAAAAATATTTTTAAACTTTTGTTTGATTCAAGTTATATGTTAGCGCCAATACTAAAATCTAATTTTGTCTCCCTCCTATTTATTTATTTATTTATTTCTTACATAATTTCATTAATCGCATTTAGGGTTCGGTTATAAATATTTTAACTTTTAGTTTTAGTTTTTATTTTATTAATACCGAACGGTACTAATTATATAAATAAATAAAAATATTATAGGATATTATCGTGATGAATATTATTTATTATTATTTTAATTATAATTTTACCTTGGCATTGAACCAGTAAATTTAGAAGTTACGTTTTATTTGAAGTTATTTCAAGTTGTGTGTTGTTGTTGGACGACGATAATGTTGACATGTTTAAATTGTTTGTTTTTATATAAAATTGTAATTTTTTTTTTTAAATTTTCAAAGTAAAATAATAATTATGTGTAAAATAATTAGTAATTTTAAATTGTGGAGTTGATTGATTGATTGATTGATTGATTGATTTTTTAAATGTGAAGTTCAACTATACATAAAAAAAATTTAAGGATTTATTTTTATGGGGAACAATTTTTTTTTTTTTTTTTTTTGTGTTTAAAAAATCGTTTCTTATAATTTTTTTTTTGTACGATAGAAACTAATTACTAATAGTTTATTGAACTTGATAGTTTTGAAATTCTTTCTTGTTTTTTTTTTAATACTAAAATAATATTCGGTCATTATCACCGTATATTAAATTGGAAATTATTTTAAATTCTAGTATATTTATATTAAAACATCAGTCGTTCAAACGAGTTTTTACTAAAAAAAAAAAAAAAAAAAAAAAAAAAACTTTAGTAATCGACATTTAAAATATGAAAAATTATTATTAAATTAATTAAATAATATTTTTTTTTTAGTGAAATCGTGAAAGAAATATTTTTTTTTAAAAAAATTTAATAATCTATAAATATTTTGGCTTCCATTCCTCCTTAACTCAAAAATAAATAATTTTTTTATCGTTAAATAAAAACATTGAAGGGGATTTTTAAATAATTTCTCGTGTTAAAATAAAAATATATTTGTAAATAACAACAACACACGTGTAAACAACCGTGAAAAATTATTAAATATCATTATTTTCATGTTGCTTTGCAGGAGAATAATTTACCGGGGGTGGGGGGGGGAATACAAAAATTTGAAATTATATCGATTTCTGCGTTCCAAATATGTAATTATAAAAAAAAGAATTTCTCATAATAATAATAATTAGTTATTTTCACCGTTGATGATGATACACACGTGTAAATCAAACAAGTTTTTTTGTTTTTTTTTTAAGGTATATATAAGTTAAATAATAATTCAAGTGGAAGTCAATATTTTTTTTTTTAACATTTTTTTTGCGGTTTCAATTTGGCATTGTTCGAAAATAAATATTAAAAATATATAAATTAATGTTATTATTTGAAATTTGCCGCCTGCCAACAAAAAAATGAAAACGTAATAGAAATAAATAAATAAATAAATAAAAAACTTGATTTTGTAAATTACGAAATGACCGATACTCATTTTTTTTTTTTTTTTAAATTGCACGTGTAAAAAATTGTTTTTCTTTCTTTTCGACTAAATTTATTTTTATTAATTTCACGTGTACGTAAACATAAAAATTATATATTATTATTATTATTATTATTATTTTTTTTTTTTTTTAAATAATTTTAAAAGCTTAGTTTTATTTTTAAAAAAATTACTTACCTAGGGATTATTTAGGGTTTGCCATTTTTTTTTTTTTTTTTTTTTTTTAAAAAATTTAAATTCGACTTTTTATTTTTAATATTTTTAATATATATATATATATATATATATATATATATATATATATATATATATATATATATATTTATATCACTAAAATGACAGTGTAAATGTGTTTAAAAAAAAAAAAAAAAAAAAGTATAAAAAGAAACAACAATTTGTTAATTAAATGTAATTTACACACACACAAACTGACAGAGGAAATTGATTTAAATTCTACTAATAGTAGTAGTAGTCATTATTATTATTATTATTATTATTAAAGAAGAAGATGAAGATGATTATATTATTCTATACTTTCCATTGGTTAAGATGAATTTGTTTTGCCTTTGCCGAATCGTGACTCCTTTGTTTTAAAAAAAAAAAAAAAAAAAAAAAAAAGGAAAAAAAATTCATGTATGTGTTAATATTAAATATTTTTTTTATAGTATTCGGTAGTGTATAATTTACTGTATACAAGTTCATACACACACACACGCACGTACACGACACACACACGCACGTACACGTACACACACACGCACAAACATTTGTAGTTTTTTTTATAAATAATCACGTGTTCGGTCAAAGTTTATTTAATATTTATTTATTTATTTTTTTTTTTTTCATTTTTGAATTCACACATAAAATAATAATAATAATAATAATTTTTTGTTGTATTTATCATAACATTTTTCAGTAAAGTAAATAATTTTAATAGTGATTTTTTTTTTTTTTGTTATTGTTATTGTTTGTTGTTTGTTGTTGTTTTTCCCTTTCTCTTATGTATTAGCAGCCAGGTTGTTGTGTAGACTATCTCTTTTTTATTAGTGGAGTGTTCACATACAGATAAGATTAAAATGTTTACCGTTACAGTTTAGCAAAATGGCATTGTAGAAAAAAAAAAACTTGAAAAGGAAAGAAAATCTCTCTCGCGTGTGTTTTTTGTTTTTTTTTTTTTTTTTTTTAATATTTAATATTTATATAAGATATAAAATATTATTATTATTATTATTTGATATCATGGATCGAACAATGTATGGGAAAATCCTTCCAGGAACTTATCAACCTTATAGATGTACGAGAAAAAATGGATCTCCACCCGGTTGTAAGTAATTATGACCTCTTTCGCTTTTGGTTTAAATGGGGGTGCTTCGTATTTATTGGTAGCTTTTTAATCAGGTACACAGTACAGGTAATCTATTTACTTGAGCGGTTATGTTTCGACATTTAAAAATGTGAATTTTGCAATTGACAATTAAAAATGAACGATTAAAGCTAAAGCTTTTTGCTTTTTTTTTCTCTCTCGTCATGTACGCTCGCTTATTATACGTTAAATCGTTTTTTAAAAAAAAATATTATTATT